TTCAAAAGCATCAATTCTCCAGTGCTCAGCTTTCTTTATAGTCCAACTCTCACATCCATACATGACTACTGGAAAAACCATAGCTTTGACTAGATGGACCTTTGTTGGCAAAGTAATGTCTCTACTTTTTAATATGCTGTCTGGGTTGGCAAAAAAAAAAAAAAAAAAACACCAAACTAGTGGAGGTGATGGAATTCCAGTTGAGCTATTTCAAATCCTATAAGATGATGCTGTGAAAGTGCTGCACTCAATATGCCAGCAAATTTGGAAAACTCAGCAGTGGCCACTGGACTGGAAAAGGTCAGTTTTCATTCCAATCCCAAAGAAAGGCAATGCCAAAGAATGCTCAAACTACCGCACTGTTGCACTCATCTCACACACTAGTAAAGTAATGCTCAAAATTCTCCAAGCCAGGCTTCAATAGTATGTGAACCATTAACTTCCAGATGTTCAAGCTGGTTTTAGAAAAGGCAGAGGAACCAGAGATCAAATTGCCAACATTCATTGGATCATCAAAAAAGCAAGAGAGTTCCAGAAAAATATCTACTTCTGCTTTATTGACTATGCTGAATCCTTTGACTGTGTGGATCACAACAAACTGGAAAATTCTGAAAGAGATGGGAATACCAGACCACCTGACTTGCCTCTTCAGAAGTCTGTATGTAGGTCACGAAGCAACAGTTAGAACTGGACATGGAACAACAGTCTGGTTCCAAATAGGGAAAGGAGTACGTCAAGGCTGTATGTTGTTGTCCTGCTTATTTAACTTATATGCAGAGTACATCATGAGAAACGCTGGGCTGGAGGAATCAAGATCTCTGGGAGAAATATCAATAACCTCAGATATGCAGATGACACCATCCTTATGGCAGAAAGCAAAGAAGAACTAAAGAGCATCTTGATGAAAGTGAAAGAGGAGAGTGTAAAAGTTGGCTTAAAGCTTAACACAGAAAACTAAGATTATGGCATCTGGACCCATCACTTCATGGCAAATAGATGGGGAAACAGTGGAAACAGTGGCAGACTTTATTTTTGGGGGCTCCAAAATCACTGCAGATGGTGAGTGCAGCCATGAAATTAAAAGGTGCTTGCTCCCTGGAAGAAAAGTTATGACCAACCTAGATAGCATATTAAAAAGCAGAGACATTTACTTTGTCAACAAAGGTCCATCTAGTCAAAGCTATGGTTTTTCCAGTAATCATGTATGGATGTGAGAGTTGGACTATAAAGAAAGCTGAGTGGGAAGAATTGATGTTTTTGAACTGTGGTGTTGGAAAAGACTCTTGAGAGTCCCTTGGACTGCAAGGAGATCAAACCAGTCCATCCTAAAGGAAAGCAGTCCTGAATATTCATTGGAAGGACTGATGCTGAAGCTGAAGCTTCAATACTTTGGCCACCTGATGCGAGGAGCTGACTCATTAGAAAAGACCCTGATGCTGGGAAAGATTGAAGGTGGGAAGAGAAGGGGACGACAAAGGATGAGATGGTTGGATGGCATCACCGACTCAATGGACATGAGTCTGAGTAAATTCAGGAGTTGGTGATGGACAGGGAGGCCTGGCATGCTGCAGTCCGTAGGGTTGTAAAGAGTCTGACATGACTGAGCGACTGAACTGAACTGAAAGGAACTGAGATTGGTAAATGTATTCAGAACACTTATATTAGCCAGCAGTTGGGCCCATTTATCTAACACAAATCTTATTGTACAATAAAGTGTGAACTGTCTCATGTAATTTCTTGAATCCTGTGCTAAAGCTGAAAAACAGAATCGTTGTTTTGGATGTTTAGTCTTGTGATCACCCAGCTGACTGGCATTGCAAAATCGAAAAACTGTAAGTCAGGGACCATCTGTAGTAGCATCTCAGTATCTAGCAAGGCCAAAAAAGTCCTCAAGGAAGAGGCGATAGTTAATATATACCTTGAATAATGAGTGCAAAGAAGAGCAAGAATAAGAGGGGAAGGTGTTTCAAATAGAAAAATAGCACAAAGATATGGGAACCGATGGGGTGCCTGTGTGAAACAATGAGTGGTGTAAGGCAAATGCAGATTAAAAATGAGACCCTTAATTCTCCTGGTTGAGAATAAGGGAGGAGACTTTCTCCCCACTTCTCTCATTTCTTTCCAAATTTCATTCCCTGTACCTTTCAAATGAATGCAAATCTTTTAAATGGCTAAAGAAGCCTCTTAAAGGTCTCACAGCTCTGGAATGTTACCTGGAGGACCTGGGAACGATCTCTTTGAAATGCAAACATCAAGAGAAGCAGAGCCCCATCACTCAGTTGCTCTAGGAGTTTAGGAGTCTAACTTCTCTGGGCACCTTGCTCCAATTTGCAAAACTATCTGCTGTGGTAAAGATATGTTAAATTTGTTTCTCCAACTGATATAGTCAACATAGGTGGTCTCCTCAGTAGATGAGAAAGCTAGGATGGAGTCTGAATGACCACAAGTTCTCTTAATTGAGGACTGGTTATGGTGTATCCTGAAAACACGTATGGAATGGGTTCTATCTGTCTGAACACAAAAGACGGGCAAGCTTCCTTTCTGTCTCTGCAGTCACATAGTGGGTTGCCTCTGATGCTCATCACATTCTGCTCTAATGTTTATTCAATAATAAACATCTTTTCTTTCACGACTATTTTGGTGGAGAGGATTTGGGGGTTGGAAGATCTCTTTTCTTTCAATTTCCCCACCAGGGGGCTGGGGATTTCCTGGTGGCTCAGCTGGTAAGTCTGCCTGCAATCTGGGAGACGTGGGTTTGATCCCTGGGTTGGGAGGATCCCCTGGAGAAGGAAATGGCAACTCACTCCAGTATTCTTGCCTGGAACATCCTACGGACGGAGGAGCCTGGTGGGTGCCATGGGGTCGCAAAGAGTCAGACACAACCAAGCGACTTCACTTTCACTTTTCACCAGGGGTTTGGCTTGTCTGGAGTGTACAGGTTACAGAAGGTGGGTGAGACAGGAAGTGAGAGGGTGAGCCTAAGGCCAGAGCACAAGTGTGCTATGTGAGCAGATCAGTGTTATTCTACAGGCAGGAAGGAGCTATGGAAGAACTAATCCGGGAAATGAAGTAATGTTCTACCTTAGAAAAATGACTCTGGCAGTAGTGTATGTGGTGGGTTGGAAGGGAGAAGCATCTAGTGACATATCACTGCATGTGGACACAATCTTAGTGTGTATCACTCAAACAGTATTCTTGGACTGACCTTTCCCTAAACCCCCTACCAATATCCGCATTTGTGTATTTTAAGTTTTATCACAGTGACATTTCTCCAGGATATGGAGAGTAGTGGACAATAGTGAATGTAGCTGCATGTCTGACGCTCCTTGGCTGTTTTTCCTGTCTGGTATGGGAGCTCCTCTGGCCCCACAGCCTCCACCCAGTGGCTCTTGAGGTCCCCAGTATCTTCAGATTCTAGGCTATCTCTGGTGATTTCCATCAGGAGAAGGGACTTGCTTATATTGCAGGGACCTCTCCCACTGGCTGGTGCTCAGTTTATGATACACACTTGCTTGAGATTCAGGGAGGTCCTGTAAACCAGCCAAACTGAGGTGTGCTGGTTAGCTCAGATGCCTCATTTATTGGCGACCCCTACTGGGAAACCCCTGACTGTGACCATTGATTCCTTGGATTCATGTGAGTTCAGGCTTTCCTATTAAAACAACCCGTTAAATGGATTTCTTTCACCTGGGACTTTGTAAACAGAAAGTGAGAAGAGTCAAAACACTGTGAATGAACTACATGTACATTTATTAAATAGTTAACAAAGGCAAAGCGATAACCACTTACTAAATATATATATAATAATTAATACACATCTGATTCTCCCTTAACTACCAATTTCCCCAAGGAATTATTCACCTCTTCAGGTCACAAAGGCTAAAGGCAAAGTCTCAATCCCCACCCTCTTCTTGATCCTCCATGGGCTGACCATCATTTCCTGTAGCCATAATGTCTCTAGAAGCATGCTGAATGCAGAGATCCCTCAGGTTCCTTCTACATTCTCGGGTCCAGCTCATGAGCAGGCTATCTGCTTTAACGGGTGCTGTTACTACTGCTTACTGCTATGCATCCAGTTATTCTAGGATTTTTTACCAAATTTTCTCTTTGCACTCAGACATACATGCTGGGCGGTGTGCTAAATCACTTATAGGGTGTTACCTCCCTCTTTCATCAGGAAAATCTTTGATTTTTCTTTCATCTGTTTTGCCCAGGTGTCCTGCCTGCCTCTGCACTGCACTGTTAATATGAAAAACAGAAAAGTGCTGGGCTGACCAGACCTTCCTTCTTATACAGGTTTCAGCATGCACTTTGGAATGGAGCATCTATTTGACAGGACAGAAATCAAATCTGTTCCTCTCACAAACCTCACCCTGTTGTCAGGGTGGCTATCTTTTTTATCAGTGGAGCTGTTGGCTTTTGTTCCCCAGACTCCTACTGTCCTCCTGTTGAAGGGAGAGTCCAGACGCTGAGAGCAAAATCTGAGAGGGCTCAGTTAAATGGACACTTCAGTACAGGAAAGCGTCAAGTAAAAAGGCCGAGTATGTGCATCCATCTGTTGGAGATGAACAAGTACAGGCGTGAGGCTACTCCAGAAATGTCATCACTTGTCAGGCCCATCACTCTGTTATGCTCTTTACTACCAAAGTGGACCATGAGGGTGGATTCAGGTCTGTGGAATTTGGGGATATTCAGTATCAAGTCAGTATTTTAGGTTCATTATTATATCAGAACTTTCCTGACCGTGAGAAAATTACAGGAGTCTGCCTTTTTTGGCCTTCTTGAGGTAGTGAATGGCTGTACCGCCCATCCATAGGAATTTGGTTGCTGGTTAAACGTTGTGATTCAAGTGCCCAGAGTTTTGCTTCAGTAAAGCGTTTCTCCCTTATCTGTGCATGTGGCCTCTGATACTTGACCACCGGAGTCATGCCTTTTAAAATATAAACACTCCCAGGAGGGGCCGCACATTAAGCTGCTGACACCTTAGTGTGATTTGTCTCTTAGATCTCAGAGATGAGCTGCTCTCCATAGCCTGAGATAACCCACAGGAAAGTTCTAATGGGAAAAAACCCACTATCTATCTGGGGAAGCAGGACTGATAAGTTGCTGTCTTGGGGCTTCTGGAAGGCCAGGGGATGAGAATAGGAGGGACTTAACAGGATGTTGGGGAAATGGTTGGCAAATGCCAAGGTAAAGTCGGTTAACACCTGGTTTTGCCCCTGGGTCAACTTCCCTCTGCCCGGTAGAAACTCCATTTTGATGACGGTCGAGAATGCCTGCCCTGAATGAATTCTTGCTGTTATCATTCACCAGTTTCAAAGAGAGACATTAGCTGAATCATTTAGAGGCCAAAGACCTCTTGTAAATGTCTATATACTGAACTGGTTTTAGTGTAGAATTATCAGAGTCACAGAAACGTATCAAACACATCAAAGGGCTCAAAGTCAGCTTATCAAGAAACGCCACAGTCAGTGGGAACCACACTTAGAAATAGTCTAGCAGGGCACAAGGGGCCAGGAAGCTAGTAGCTCTGTAGGACTTAACTGATACTGGACAAGAATTCAACCTCCATTCTGGCCCTTTTCATTGTCCTAGATATGTGGATAATACTTTGTTGTTCAGTTGCTCAGTTGTGTCTGACTCTTTGCAACCCCATGGACTATAGCATACCAGGCTTCCCTGTTCTCCACTATCTCCCAGAGTTTGCTTAAGCTCATGTCCATTGAGTCAGTGATGCTATCTGACCATCTCATCCTCTGCCACCCCCTTCTCCTTTTGCCTTCAATCTTTCCCAGCACCAGGATCTTTTTCACCCTGTCACAACCTCTTATCCAAAATCTCTTCATCTCAGTTTTCTATAAGCCAACTACTGGACATTGGAGAAGTTCCTGATTAGTGTTTTAAGTATTTAGAAATCTGACTGAATAAAGTGTTTCCAAGTTACATTTTGCTTTCCTTACAGAACAGAATTGATTATCCTTTCATTCCTTTGCCATTGGTTGGAGAAAACCAATTTGAAGTGAGAGAAAACATTTAAAAGGAAAGCCATGCATCCTGGTGTTGTGAAACCAGTGATGCCCATCTTGAAAAGAATAAAATGAATGACACTGGTTTCATACGTTACACTCAAGATAAAGGATAGAAATCAATAACAGGAAAATACAAACTCTTGATAATAATGTATCTTAGAATATGCCTCAGAATTTCTGAAGCACAATAGAAAGCAGTGAGCATTATCTCAAAATGTTTAGATTCTTTTGCTAAAATATAAGTGTATCTTTCTTGTGGTAGTGACCTCAATATTATAGGAATAATATATCTAATACAATGGATGTATTAGCTATATAATTCAAAATACTGGAAGTATATATTTAGAAATAAATTTATTCTATGTATGAAATATAGCATTAAACCAAATAAAATTTTATATTAGAATTACTAAATATTAAGATTAATATGCTAGAAGACAAATCGCTTTTAAGTGAACTCCTAATGTGTGAATATGGATTCATAAAAAAAGACAAAACCAGGAAATTTACACATTTTATTAAAAGAACAAAAAATAAACAACGTGGAAATAGCATAAAATGAATTGCATAATGCACACTTCTAAACACAGACAAGCAGTAGAGCATATAACTTGGAGAAACAAAAACAAAAAAAATCAAAGCATCTGACCTACTGATAGCAGTTGAGGAAATGAGCTGTTGCATTTTGGAGCCAAAATATGATGGCAACAGTTTATATTTATTAAGTATTATGATCATTATTTAAATCTATAATTGTTTCACAGGGCTAATAATTTTTAAATTGTATGTAAATCGGCATTTTTCTATCCAAAATATGTGCTTCCATTTTCTACATTATACCAGACTGTTGTTATATGAATGCACAGAGTTAGCTTCGTAAAAAAGAATATATTTAGGAGTATCTTTTAAAAGTCTTATTTAAATTCTTGTAATTTTGGTGCATGTAACGAATGGTTCATTTTCTAATAATTAAAGCAACAACAATAATAAAAGGAAATTGATTTTGACAAGGGCAACCCTCAAATCCAATGATATAATAGTCATAATAATTCTCTCAACTGCTAGACATGAAAGACACAGCAACAAAATAATTTGGTTTCCATCATTAACAAATAGCATCTGTATACAGAAATAAAGCTTTGCAATCATGCAGTTCTATGACAGATAAATGCTTAGGTTGTGTGTGGGAAAAGAGGACTGCTTAAAGTTGGGTTACTTTTATAGAGGTTTTTTCTTAAAAAAATTAAAGTAATATGATGTAGCTTGATTTATTTCACAGTGATACATTTCCTAAGTATGCTATAATAGAGGATGGTTAAAGAGAAAGATAAAATGCCTCTGGGATAATCCTGCTTTGGGGTATTGATGGGTAGTTCTCTTCCAGGGAAGAAGTGTAGGGGATAGAAACTGAATTAGTGAAACTAAATCCTTTTCTGGGTTTAATAGAGGTCCTTTCATCCTCTAATTTTACTTACTTAAAAGACAGCACTGTGTTTAAGCTCTAAAGAGTATGACCCAGTGGCTGTCAGTACGCACTATGTGCCATCAATGAACTGATTACCTTTTGTGATGTTTCTAGGTTCGTTCTTACTATTTTAGAGTTGATTCTGCCTAACATAAAATCTTACTATATTTCTATTGACCTTATGAAAATATATTCGTGTGGCTTATATTTTCACAAGGAAATATTAACATAAGAACATGGGTTAAGCTGGGAAAATATGTTGGTGGTAAGGTTAAAGTTGGAGTTCCTAACTACAAAATGAATGAATGCTTCCATTTTACATCAATGGAAATGCTGATCAGATGGTCAGGTTGTTAGCTGTAAGTAAGTGATCATGTATTGAAGGGGGGGAAAAAAAACAAATTTCTGACCAGCTGGCCCTGAGCTATTGGACAACTGTAAGGCTTGGATTGCTTTCTGGCTTTGGTTTATTTTCATGTCTCTGTAAGTGAGAACTATCAAAATCGGTAACAATACTAACACCAATTCCGTCAACCCCAAGATGGGCTCCTTTTCCAGGGCAAGGACAACAGGTCTCAAGATGGGAAGCCCTCAAAGTCGGTATGGTGATCTATCCTTAAACCTTTCTAACCTTGACCTTTTTCTAAGCCTCACTGCCTGGAGGAAACAAAAAGATAAATGGTGATTTGTAGGTGACGTGGGAGCTGAAATCGACAGAGATGGTCTGACATTCTTTTCTAGCTCCAATGTATTAATATGTAAGATTTTGGCTGGTTCTCTTCTGTTTGGTTAAAAGAGTAGGAGGCTGAAGTGGCACAGTGAAGCACTGTCTAATCTGCTAAAGGTAAGTCAGAAAATAGCTTCCACTGAACAGGTATAAAGTAAATATAAAATTGTGTCAGGACCATTTTTTCCCCTTTGTTGGAGGGGATGAAATGCCCTGTGCTGGTCATATTTAACTGTTAAATTATGTCTTTCAATAGTTGCCAATTTGGTTTTGGCTTCTGGATCTTGAAGGGGAAATAGTGGCGAGGGTTAACAATTTGATTGTCACTTAAATATATATTAATTGATATAACCGATATATCTCAATTGATCATTTTCTGTGAAAGATGAAATCTCATTGGATCAGAATGGGAATATCCATCTTGCAGCTTACAAGGTATTTCACTGCTTGTAACCATTGAAAAAAGAAGACCTTAGCACCAAAAACCTGCCTGGGGTTGTGTGTGTATGTGTGTTTGAGGATTAATTCACATAACAATCTTTGCTAGTGATCTTGCTAAAAGTTGAAGTACCTGAACTTTTGTTTAGTGCCATTGGCTGAAGCTGTCACTTCACCTGCCTGCCACCAGTCTTGTCTTATGGTGAGCTGTAGTGAACTAGAAAGCCTCCATAACAGGAAAGCAACATCATGCTTTAGTTAAGTCTTGTAGGAAAAAAAAAACTTTCTTCTCAAAGTCTTAGAAATAACTCTCTCTTACTAACTTTTCCACTATTATCACAGACTTCTTATATTAAAAAAAAAAACAACTCCAAGGGTCACTTTCATGAACTATGTACATAAGTGCAAAAAAGGTGTGTCTCACACGTTCGCACCCTAACTGAGACCATCAGTTAACTGCAGCATATGTCTCTTCAACACTGTTATGGGGTCATTCCACAGTATCTGTATGAATGAGTTCACTAATGTGAATGAATGTAATCTGTGCTTTTGTCATTCTTTAACCCTCCTTTGGATAGATTTGAGTAAGAAAATTTTTGTAGCTACAGCTATGCCACTTGAGTAATTTTGAATAAGTAAGGTTATAAAGAGAGATCAGGACATATTATGAATACAATTGTGTCTAAATACTGTGGAATAACCCTATCCACACAACAAATTCTATCGCTCTAAAGCCTGATTCTAGAATCCACATGTTGTAAACTTTTTGTTCAAAAAGTCACAGAAGGACGCAAATTCAGTTTTCACAGGGAACTTTGGGATTAAAAAGAAAAATCAACCATATCTATATCTGAGCTTTGAGCTATATGTGCTACATGCCACACTGTCAAAAAACCAGCTTAACAAGTAAAATTTTCACACACAAAAAAATGTCTAAAGGTAGCCATGTTGTAGGTTTGTTGCTGAAGCAACAACTAAATATAATTAGTTAAAAATTATTATTTGTATATAAAGTTAAGTTCTTGTGAACTGTAAGAAATAGTCATGAACTAGACTCTACACCTTGCTTCAGTGTCAGTTGAGGATCTATCTAGGTGGGTTGAATACACGGAGTAAAATCTTAAAATTTTCTCTAACTCTCCTTCAAAGTTAAATTCATGAACTACTTAAAGATATGAAAAAGGAACAAAATAAAAACCTTAAAAACAAGAAAAAGGAGAACATGGCACCAATTAGTGAGCTGGTGCTCAGAACCTTATTTGTAATTATATTTACAGTTGGATTAGGTGCTATTAGTTAAACTTGCAAAAAAAAAAAAGTTGTTATACTCTGTTACCTAGTGTTTATTCTATTGCCTTTGCCAGGCACTAATAAAAAGTGAGGCCACCATCTTCCTAAATCTATTCAACAGAATTGGGAGATCGTATTTCCCTATTTCTATTTAAACGTGTGAAATGTAGAAGAGATTCAAAGAAAGAAGATTCCAGTTTCTATTCATTCTATGCATCACAGCCTACCCTACAGACTGAAATAACCTGAAAACCTGTGGCTGCATTTCATCTAAGAGCATCCTCATAAACTCTCTAAAGGAGTAGCGGAAGGCCGAAATAATGTTCCAAGTAGCACATGGGCCTTCCCTATATGTTA